AAACCCCGTGACAATATGTGTTTTGTACTGCTGTTACACAGCACAAAACGCATAATAAATATACATAAAAGATGACGTCTAAAAACGCGACTGATATACAAAATGCAGCAGCAGTTCAAGGAAAAAACCCAAGATCTCAGGAAATTATAACTTCTCTGTTTACTCTGCAATTTATATATAAACTATTACGAGTCAACGCGGTTTTTTGTTACGCACATCGAATGGACAGGCGAATGTTCGCAAAAATCGTCTCAAGAATACCTACACATATTTAAGCAACTCGATTATAAAAATATCTTACTTATAAAACATTTATATATATACTCGAGCAAATATGCTATCAGCACTGTCTTCTTGCTCACGATGGGGAACTCAACAACAATAAACATCTTAACTATCAGTAAAGCAAAACTATTATTACACGAAACGTTAAAAAGTTATGCTAAAAAAGTGCCGTAATTCCAAAAACAAACATATGGGACATGATAATTGGCTAATTTAATTGTAATATTTATACACAAAATGTGCCAAGCAAGTTAAAAACTGTACAGAAAATATCTCATGCGTTTATTTTTTTGAAATGATACCCGCAAAATGACAAATGAACAATAGGAAAGCTGCTAATATGGTGAAAGGATCCGCTTGAACGGCTGTAACGAGTGACGTGAAGGCATCAAGCACAAAACAGAGAAGAATGGAGAAGTCAGCAGCCAATGCAGAGGAACAACGAAACAACAACTGATTGAAGTGTCAAAGCAAAAATATGCATATATGCAGTGAATACATTTTTGACAAAAATTTTGTACAAAAAAAAATTTTTTTTGTACAAATTTTTTTACTTTTGATAAAAATTTTCAGTAAAATTAAATATATTTTGTTTAATCAAAGCACAATTACTTGTGCCCAGTTGGAATGCTGCCAAATTCCAAGTTTACTGCCATTAAAAACAGAAAAATTTTAGCAATCTCTCACATCCACTACTTCAAAAACAGAACTTCCGGCCGGGTTTAAAAACGTCCAATTCACCTTCTTTCCGCCATTCCTGGTTTCCGCTTTAACAGATATGCCCAATCGATGTTCACGGGAATTTGAGTTATCATGTTTTAACAATGATCAAAAGAATAAGTAGAACTATAATTGATATGGATAAAATAACAATACAGTACATTTTTCTGTCGCCTCGCTGATATTTCTCAGCACGTTGCACGCTCGTCAAGGCTGATTTAACCCTGAGTGTTGCCTGTTCCACGTTATAATCAATTCGATCCAGTACAGTACCCTGAAAATGAACGGAATAAGGTGACACCTCGCATAATGCAGTTCCCGGAAAACAACTGCGAACCACGTCCCTGAGAAGATCTAGGAAACCTTCCAACGGTAAATCAAAATTGCCTGAGTTTCAACCTTTTTACATTTTCAAAATTCCCCTTTTCCTTTTGAAACTTTGCATGTTATTTTTGCTGCAACCGTCACACTGACGAGGTCTAGTTGCAGCACTGAACAGGAATGTATGCGACTTAATGGACCGAAACATTCCTATTCAGGTTTTTTAATCCGATTTATCTTATTCACCCTCTTTTTATTCCTTTCTCTTTAACCCTTACTTTTTACATAAACACACATCATCTAAAATTAAAATTACAACTTCAGTTTACCCCTTTTGCAGTTACCATAAAAAATACCATCACAAACTGTTTTTTCAGCAACTAGCTGTTTCTGATATAGTGCAAACCAGCAGATCATAAAGCGCTTTTTTTCGATAAAAAATGAAAAAATAAAGAGATTTATCGCCTGTGAGGCTCACAGTCACTGAATAATCCATCAGCTAGTCCCTGTCCTTCCTAGCAACTCACAGGAGTGGACTGCGTTTTGACTATTAACAAAAATATCTAAAAATACAAAAACGATTTTTATTTGCATTATCATTGGTACAAAGATTACGACGAGAAAATGACTGTGATGAAGCTGGGATGGTCGAAGCTAGGACGTCTTGAAACAACTAAACCCTTATCATATGCTTCGGTTAAGAGAACCGTTGGCATGATAGTAATGAATCAGAAGATAACTAGCCACCATGCCGACTCCGATGCGAAGATGGTTTTTTGCATAGTTCCCCGCAAGTTTTTGTCACTAACGGCACAGTTTTTCCGACAGATGCTTCTAACTAAAAGAATTAAGACTGGTCATTAGGACTGTCACGAAACATCCCCTTAAAATTTCAGTTTTCTAGCTTTTCTGGTTTCCTAGTTAATAACTTATCCGCCAAAAAATTTCCACTGGCCTGTACGTGAAGATCACGACAGTCCTGGTGACCAGTCTCAATTCTTGTAGTTAGAAGCGTTTATTGGAAAAACTGCGCCGTTAGTGACAAAAACCTCCAAGGAACTATGCAAAAAACGCATATTCGCACCTGCAGTCGGTGCGCTGGCAATTATCTTCTGATTCATGGGAGCAGAGCTTGAAGCCACTAATTTCCTAGATGGGTCGGAACATCCCCTTAAAACTACAGCCTTATAGCTTCCCAGGTTCCTGAGTTAGCAACTCACCAGCAAAAAAAATTTCATGGACCCATTGGAACTACGCATAGGAACAACGCATACCTGCGGGCTGGGTTTGAACTCGTTAGGATAGATAACATCCCTTAAAAATTTCAGATTCCTAGCTTTTCTGATTCCTGAGTCAGCAGCTTATCATCAAAAACTTTGACAGCCCCGTACATGGGACCCACGTGGCTAGGAGCACCCATTTTGAGAACGAGGGCCCTTACATGCATGCAGATTAAATTCCCAGCCCTGTAGCTTCTGTAGATATCGAGATGAAAAATCGGCACAGACATACAGACGGCGCACACACACAGAGGCAACTCTTGACAATATGCGTTCCCGCACTGCATAAAATGCAAAAAACGAATGTCGCAATTACTAGTAGGCTGACTACCAGGCAATGCATCATTGTTCAGCTGCCTAATTTGAAACCCGTTTATGAAATGCAGTTGATTGAAACCAAGAATCACTAGTATTAGTAGCATTTTCTGCTGTTCAATAATGAGTGCGAACCTGATCGACAACCATTGAAGCGAGATCCTTGAACAACGAATTTAGCTCAACAATCGATTTGCTCACGCTCATTACGTCTCGTTCACGTTCTTTTACCATATCTGCATTTTGCAGTAGCAGCTGTATTTGTTCCATTGTGAGACCTGAAACTGGAAGCAACTCTAAAGGCTGAAAATAAACAAAATTTTGCAATGGATTTACGGTTTTGTCACGGATCGCGACTTGCAAGCGGTGTCTTAACCAAAAATTCCGGCTGGATTTTGGGATTTTGGACAGATTCCGCACAAATCATAAAATCAGCGATAGACAGAAACATGAAAATTTGACCACCGATGACACAGCACAAAAATGTTGTGATTTTTGGAAATCATTATTCGTTTTTTAACTCAGTTTCACATTTTAGACGATTTTAATGCCACATTTAAAACAAACCTTGCAAAATTACCAACCAAATTTTCCAAGTTTTTTCTTTCTACGTGTCCCCTCATTTAGCATGCCTGTTTTTTTTTTTTCAAAAACGAACAATTTGCGCATCTTTTCAAAGCAAAACAGAGGAACTCTGATGTACAACATTACGCCAACTGAGTTAAAATGTACCATCACTTGATTCATCCACCGGTGCATCATCGAGCACTTCGGTATTCACCCAATCACTCGAAGCAAGCAGATACGAGTTGACGGTTTCTTTGCGTGCCTCAATCTGTTTC